GGGCGGGGAATTATGGTGGCGCGGCTGCGGGTTCGGAGTGAGAGAGACTACCTTAACTCGAATTAGAAATCCTCTTGATTGAGGGTTGGGGTTGGTTGGGTTTTTGAGTCCTTTAGCATGTTATGGCTAATAGGCTATGCTTAAAAGCTTAAAAACAAGTAATTTACTTCTATTTATTTTGAGAAAATTTAGGGGTGACAAATGGGTTTTAGGATTGTGGTCGAGATGGCTAGGCTATGCTTAAAAGTTGAAAAACTATTAATTTAGCTTGTCCCCCGCCCTACCGTATGGGGAGAGATGGCTCGCTCGAGGGATTGGGGTTTGGATCGAATTGAATTGAAATATCCATCATTCTCACCTTATTTTCCGATTTACTTATTTTTCAAATTTTTTTCTTAAAGACGATATTATTCGAAAACATAAAATAAAATAAAAATTAAGAGTCGAATTAAGGCCATGTTACTTTTCCCTGGCCTGATCTCCTGATGGTATGAGTTAAGGCCATGGAATTTTCGTCTTTGCTAGGAAATAGCAGTTTGTTGTCTTCAAATGTTTAATAACTATCTTTAATGAAATTATCAAGAATTATTTGCATTCGTTTATGAAAGTTTGAGGAATTTAAGGTCAATAAATAAAAGTGCAAGGCGGTATGTAGGTTCGGACGACGGCTTCAATTTTTCCTATTATAGCAAGTATGTTTTGATAAGTGAATTTCTTGTAGTTTTAAGTAAAATATAACTATATATATATTGTCAAAGTAAAATTTTTAATTATTTTTAATATCCAACAATTACGAAAGCTCCTTATTTTAAGAACTTGCATGTTACAACTTGCCAATATTTTAAAATGCTCGCTTAAATTTAATAAGACATGAAACTTGACTTATCAAACTTTACCCTTTACTAGCGTAAAGCTTTTAAACTTGGCCAAACATGCTTAGCTGAAACGAGAGGTTATGTTGTTTGAAGTCGTATTGACTTCGCTGTTATAGAAATACAATGTGGAAAGAATTGGTTTTGTATAACAGCTTGTAAAGTAATGTTATTCAGCACCTGTCAAACATTAATCTAAGTGGTAACTATATGATATTAAATAATAGATTCACTTAAATGTAATTTCGCATGATTTATTTAACCGAACCTATTAAATGTGGTCATTTAGATTCATACTTTAGCACTATAGTATTAGATGGTATTTATTCCATTGGAAAAAGCCTTATGTACAGGCTTTTCCCTTCACAAATGTTATACAGATGATGATTTGGCAGCATATGCTTGATTTTTTTATTTTTATTTATTTAATTTTTTTACTTCCAATGAATTGATGCCACATGTAATCTATGAAGGTACATCTAGCATGATTCTATTCCATCTTGTAAATGAGCACAAAATTATAGCATTCTTAAAGTTATACCTCATTAAATACTTAAAATTATTTAGATTATAATATTTCATTCCTATGGAATCATTTTTATTTTTTGTATTATTTAATCAATCTTGTGTATTTTTTATAGTTGATCATGGAGTCTGAGGGCTGCAACAATATGATACTTGACATAAAACTTGAAACTGTAACTGTAAGTATGGTTTAAAAAATTTGCTTCGTTATTTTTCTATAAAGAACACTAGGAAAAAAAATCTCATAGTTTGAATTTCTTTCCAGATAAACAAGTTTTCCGTGTATATATTATTGTAGCCTTCATTTGTCACCCTTTAAAATTTTAAATTGTTTGCTGCATGAACATTCTTCACCGTGCATTCATACAATAAAACGTTCTACGCACAAACTAATAAAGTTTCTTTACATTTTAACCATACATTCTCAAAAAAATATTATTCAAAACTCTTTATTTTCTAAAATAATGTATGACAAACAATCTTTTACAACACGTTTTCCTTCCTCTTGACTTCAAAAAGCGTTGGAATGTGTCCCGATTATCCATCCAACAATCAAGTCAGTAAAATGTACGAGAAAGAGGAGTTGGAAAATATATAAATAATACTCAAATACCAAAATATGATAACATATACTTGTATTTTGAATTTACTATTTACTGGCGATTTTTAAGAGCTATGAAAATAATAATCCGTTATTTTGTACAAAAACGTGGCTCATTTTAGAACTTATGTCACTAAATTTTTTCAACGTACTCTTATTTTCAACCTTCTATTAATAAGTACATCTCATTTTTTATAACGGTTTTCATCCAAAACGTTTGTTAAAGGACATAAAAAGACATATTTGTACATTATATTATAAGACAATAAATACAAAAGTGCAATAAAATATATCTCATTTCAAAGCACACAAATAAAATATTTGACATAGACAATCATTAAGAGCAACATTTGTTAATTAATGAATTGGTGAAAATAAGAATTTGATTTTAAAAGTTAGGAATTTAAATGGAGGCATTCTTGAGGAAAAATTGAATAAAAAATTGACAACTTTGAGTACAATTAAAATGTGATGAAATTGATAAAATTTGACACAATTTTTATTCAAAAATAATAATATTATTATTGGGGGGAGGAGGGGGGAGGGGGTTGGGATGGTTCAACCACTTAAACCATAACTATTTATTTATTGGCAGGTAGAAGCTTAGGCATGTGGTGTGTTGTCGTGTGAAACCTACGAGCTGGGCCCACCTCATTAAGTATTACCTATATTAAAATACTCGAGCATTCATGCTGTCGGATTCATGCTTATATTGCTAAGTCCAAGTCCTTATTATATACAATTATTTCTAATTATGTAAATTATTTTCTACTTTCCAAGTCCTTGATTATATGTAATCACTTCTAATTATATAAATATTGGGTCAATGGCACAAAACGCCCCTAACCTTTACCCATATTGCGAAATAATCCCTATTCTTTCATTCTGGCAAAACAACCCCTATATGACATTTTCCATGTGAAATACAACATTTTTTTTTTTTTCATTTTCTCAATAAAGCCTTGAGAAAATTTTTAGTTATTTATTTGGAACTCATTTAAACTTTTTTAAAAATATGGTGACTACGATTACAATTGATGCTTTATTTTTTTTCTTCTTTTCTTTTTTTTTTTTAATTTAAAGGAGTGCGTACATTTGTCATTTCACAAGATTTTATTGAGAAATTAAAAGAAAAAGTTGAAATCCGTACGGAAAAAGGTCATATAGGAGGGTATTCAGTCAAAATGAAAGGATGATGGGTATTCCACAATAAGGGTAAAGGTTAAGAATGTTTTGTGACATTTATCCTAAATTATTTATTTCTTAAAAATATTGCAAAACCTAAAGACATCAGAAATTAGAGTGCACAAAATGAAAACTAACTACTTGTGATATGACAAGTGACATCAGTTGTTCAAAAATTGAAAACTTGGCCATATCTATTATTGAGTTTAGACAATTGAGTTCAACATGTATTTATTATGATTTACTGATATAATCAGCGACTGAAAGTTGTGGGGAACAACTTATTAACAATTAGCAATTTTCTCTTACCAATTTTGCAAAAGCTAAAAACTCGACTATGTCAGTCTTTGAGTTGAGATAATTGACTTAAACGTGTACTTAATGTGGTGTGATAAAATGAAAAGAGTGAAAGCTCGAACAAATTACTTATCAATTATTTTCGCAGACCAATCTTGAATAAACTAAAAACTCAACCATGTTAGACCTGTGAATGAGGCTGATTGAGTTCAGGAGCGTAGGGAGGGGGCCCAGCACTACCCTTTTTTTTT